AACATAAAATTGAGTAGTTCTGAATTTAATGACTAGAACCACTTAATTGAGCACTTCATTAAAAAATAAAACACATTTCTGGAATCTGCATCTTTGGTCCGATTTCTTACAACGATTAAGAAAGAATAAACCTGTCAAAATTTACACTGGTGTGCAAAAATTAAGGACGAAGTCGAAAAATTAGCATATCAGCTGAACGAAGAGGCAGAGCGGACAAAAAGACCAATCAGGAGATTAAGTAAGGTGATGTACGGTAGCACATGCGCAGATATGCAGTGTCTGAGTAGTATAAAGCATGTTGTTGGTGTAAGATCAATATTTCTGGCAAAGAGATTGCACGCCGTATAGCAGTTAAAATTACACCGAGTTGCTGCCTCAGCGAGAAATGGCGAATAATCAATCTGTTAGATGACATCTGGATACTTTTACCCGAGGTCGAATCATTGGGAAGTTGGAGGAAGGCTGCCGTGTGACAAGTGTGGCTACAGAGTTCGGAATTGCTCACAGCATCGTTTCACGACTTTGGAGACAATTTCAAACTACAGGAACAGCTATCGGGGGGTTTAGTAGTGGTCGTCCACGAGGAACCACACCCGCAGATGACCGGTATATTGCCTTACAGGCCAGAAGAAACAGGCGGCAGACAGCGGGAGAAATCGCTAGACACACGACACAGGCGACTGGACGACCCATATCGCGTTTTACCGTGGCCAGAAGACTGCACGGTGGTGGTCTGTTTGCACAATGCCCTGTACGGTGTGTACCTCTAACGCCTGCCCATGGGAGAAGGCATTCTCTGTTGTGCCGGGAACACCGGAATTGGAGAGACAATGAATGGGGACGAGTACTCTTTACAGAGGAGAGCAGATTCAGTCTGAGTAGCGATTCTCATCGCATATACTCATCTGGAGAGAGCGGAGAAACCGCAATCATCCCTCGAACATCATTGAAAGGGGCAGGTATGGAGGTGGTGGTGTTCTCGTTTGGGGAGGCATTTCTTCCATATGTGTGTCTTTTTAGAGGCGCTATGGGTCCGTAGTTCCTTTTCATGGACGACAATGCACCATGTCATCGCACAGTAGCTACCGAACAGCTCTTAGAGAGTGAGGATATTGAATGTATGGATTGTCCGGCACAATCTCCGGATCTCAATCCCATCGAGCATGTATGGGATTTTCTAGGCAGACGCTTGGCAGCTCGTACCTTACCACCAGTAACGATTCCGGAGCTTCGATTGACGCTGCAAGACGAATGGGCAGCAATGCCTCAACAACTCATTGACACCCTCATTCTCAGCATGGGCAGACGCTGTGAAACCTGCCTAGCAGTCAGGGGAGATCATATTCCCTATTAAAGACCGGATGTTTCTTGCTGGACACCCATCACAGGGATGTTTCGGCCTTCAGTCGCATTGCGCTCCATGCTACTTTTTCAGGTACGTACTTACGTATTATCGCAACGAGGTTGGCGCGATTTGTAAGTTTGAGTAAAAAAGTATGAATAGAAAGAAAATGTACATTTATTAATTACAGATAATTTTTAATACAGTTTTTTATATTATTTTGTTTTAAAATATAAAATAGCAATTAAACCCTTCCGGTTTCGAATTTAAATAAGTTGCAGAATTATTTTTTCGGCGGAAATCTTTTGGCTATTGCTTTTAGCACTGATTGAAAACCGTCTTCCCCATTAACAGCTTGAGCTTGGCGCCATATAAATTCAATAAGGTATGAGTCAACAGTTTTGTCAGCAATTCCCATCTCTTCTGCACAAAATTTAATTGAGGTTAACTCTTTACACCAACAATAAATGAAGTGCACCGCTGTCACAAATGAAATTCGGCTACCTTCAAACCAATTTCCGGTTCTCACACCCAAATGTTGATTGCTCTCTTCGACATTACATTTCCAGAAGATTTGCTTTCCAAAATACAGTTTCATTTTATGAGAATTTTTACAAGTACGTTCGTTCGGTATAATTCCATATCCCTGCAACAATTCAACAGCATCTTTTTCACTTGCAGCAGATCCCAAATACCCATAGTTAAAGTATTTCAGGGCATTCAATATAACCAGTAAGAAAAATAATTTCTTTATGAAAAACTACGTATAACACGTAAGGTCGCCAAATTTGGCGATTTATGCGAATTTTGGCCTGGTTGCGTTAATACGTAAGTACCCCTTTTTCAATAAAGCTTCTTTTTATCTCTCTGATTTCTCTTTTAGTAAGCGTTGCTTACATTACTTATGTCCTTATGTATTGGGGATCTTACGGTATTAAATGTGTTGATTTGGAAAGCTTTTGTACAAAGTTATATTGAAAAAACCGTCTCGTCCTTAATTTTTGCACACCAGTGTATTTAAAAAAGTGACTAAGCATTGGCGAAATGTTATTGAAAGAATTATCTATGCCATTCAGTTTTTAGCCAAACAAAACTTAGCCTTCCGGGGTTCCAGTAACAAATTATTCGAACGAAATAATAATTAATAATGTGTATAGAAATGATCACAAAATCTGACTTTATCATTTCTGTATATATTGATTAAATTCAAGCTAAAAAACATATACAGTCAAAAGTCGTTAATCCGGACTCGTCGGGACTTCGGCGATTCCGGATTATAGATCATCAGTTTAAATTTCGTAAGATGGCATGCAGAAATTCTAAAATTAAAAATATGAAACTAATTTATGAAATAAAGAACAATTATGATCTAAAGGGTATCAAAATTTACAAAAAAAAAAAAAAAAAAAAGCATAATATATATTTGCTTACTTTATTAAACATTTCTTTCAATGTAAGTTTTTAAGTTTGCGTTGCTTCATTTTATGTGATAATACTTTCTCTTTAATTCTATAAACAGACATAATTTCTTGTTCAGTTACAAAGTCCCGCTGTTCAAGTCCCGTTAATTGCTTGTGCCGAGAATACCGATAACTTGTCAATCGAAATTTTTTTCGTTTTCACTAACCTCTTTGTCACATTCTTCATGTCTTATATAATCCATTTTTGCAGCAATTCCACTTTTTGTTTGTTGGACATCGAAACATACTTTCGTTTTGTAGATCCTTTGGAAGTTCCAGCATCGGAAATTCTATTTGACATAATCGAAAGTTCAAGTTTACTTTTATAAAATTGCTCTTACAGTCTGCAAAAAATAATAAGCGGGATCCAATTCGAAGATTAAGGAACAACGCAATCATTAACATTAACTGAAATAGATAATTAGATAATTTTAGCTTACACCGTCCGTTATACATTAAACGCGCAGGCGAAAACGTACTCTGCACTTGCACACACGCATATGCGCAGTAGTCAAGGTCTTACGCGCACGCGTAAAACGCCTGTGCGGCGGCACATGCGCAGAAAGTTTTTAGCTTTGAGGTCCGGATTATAGATCATTCCAGATTATGGGTGTCCGACTTAACGACTTTTGACTGTACCTCATTACCTTGGAGATAAAATTCAAAATGAAACAATTAGCTTATCAGGGTGTAATAAAAAGGAAATTATTTTAAATAAGGTCAAACAGGCAAAATATTTTACTATCTTACTTGATTGTACCCCTGATGCTAGCTATCAAGAGCAGATATCAATTTATATGAGTTATCTTAAATTAGAAAATACAGACATGAGTAATGAAGAAAGGTTTTTAGTATTTTATGTTACAACAGATACGGCCAGTGAAGGATGAAAAACATTCTTATTAAAACACTTTAGAGGAAAATGGTTTAGATATTAGTAATTTACTCGGCGAAGAATACGACAATTATTCAGATATGGGAGGCAAATAGTTTTCGAGTAATTAAGCTCAAATCCTTGCTTTTTCTGAATAAAATGTTACCCTATGTTTAACATAATATATAACTATACATACCTTTTTTAATGTAGAATAACAATAACAACAAGCAATCACAAAAAAGATAAATGTTGCACAAATTACTACGATTGCAACAGTAGACACAAAATGAGGATTAAGCAATTTGTCAAATGCATCTACACTTACATACGCATCGGCATCAAGTATTTTCAAGTTCAAATAAAACAGAAGAGAACACCAGAGACGAACTCCTGTTCTGGTTGTAACTTTCGGTCAAATAAGACAATATGCTGTAATGGAAGGGGGCACTCCTGTTCTGGTTGTAACTTTCGGTCAAATAAGACAATATGCTGTAATGGAAGGGGCACTCTGAACTGGCAAGCTCGAGGCTGCCTTAAAAGGCCTAGTATCCGGAAGAAATGTTTAATAAAGTATCGAGGATGCCTAGTATCTGGATAAATGAAATGATAAGGATGATTTCCTGTGAAATATATCCCAAGTAGTAAAAATTAATTGCAGTTAAAAAAAAGGAGAGGGGGAGAAAAAAAAAGACTCGTTAAAAAATTGGGTTAGGGAAGTGATGGTTATAAAGGCAGTTTATTGCCATGGAAAATGCCAAATCAAATTGACAACACATGACACTGAAGAAATGTACTGAATTAGAAAATCACTAAATGGTATGTGTGGCTTTAACCGGGAGGATGGGGTTGAAATAGGAAATAACTGTTAAGATAAAGTTAAATCCATTACATTTTATATTTAGGCAAACTTTTAGTAATGTATGTTTTATTATACGTAACTCAATGTACCACATTTTAATAATAATAGACAGACCAGTTCTTTGCTACAAAATATTTAAGTGTATGAATGCACCTGTTATTTATCTTGAAATTTTGAAAAAATATTTAATCAATAATATTAATGTGTTATATGCATCTAATGTAAGGATAGTTGTTCCGGGAATGTTAAGTTGCGTACTAAACTAAAATATTGAATCATTAATTAAAGCAACTTCACAATTTAATTGCAAAAGAGGTTAGTTGGAAAACAAGTACATACGTTTATGAGATAGGAGTTTAAGTATTTAGAAAATATGAATAAGTCTTTAATAAAATATAATTATATATTATAGCTTTTGAATTTAAATGTTTTATTAGATGATATACTTTGTATTTCTTTTAGAAAAAAAGAAGAAAGGCTTGATTGGATGTATCAAGGTCCTGCTGCCTTGATAAATAGAGAAGATTATTTGCTTGGGCGAAAAATAGACAAGACATTTGAAATCTTACAGCAACAGGAAAATGGCTCTGAAGCAGCAAAAAATGATGGTAAAAATAATTCTTGATTGAATTCAGAATTGAGAGTTTTGCATTGTCAGTGCTATTTCTCCTAAATGTGGATATTACATCCATATTTAGTAGAAGTTAAAATGATTTTATGTGTATATTAAAGTTCCACTTTAATTTATTCAAATAATAGTATTTATTTATTTTGGTAAAAGTTGTTTTTATCCATCTTTCGCACAGTCCATAAAAGTACTTGAAAGTTCTTAGTTTTTTTTTTTTTTTTTAATGAGTTTTGGTCCTTAAAAGTTCTTAATTTTAATTATCTGACATTTCTGTCTAATTTTTTTATCACTGCCATTTTTAGAGTGAATTAACATTTTGGAGGAATATTTTTTTGGCAATGCATTTACAAATATGTGTTTGATGGGTTATCATATGAATTTTTTCCTACTTCTTAACATAAATGGTGGGTACTCAAGTTTTAGAAATGAGGCCCTGCTTCGATTGAAATATAAACATTTTGAAATAATAATTGTTGTTGTTTTTTCAAAGAAGAATTCATAAAATATTACATCAAAAACAATTTTTTCCCTTTTTGAGATACAAGTTCTTTTATTATGCAGTGTTAAATCTGGCAATTTATCAACATTTTGGCCGTTTCAAAATCAGTGTACAAAATTTTTTATTTGAAGATTTCCAAAATTTTGACAAATTTTTTTACAAACATAGTAGCACTTATAATATCATAAAAATGGTGATAATAAATTAAAATTATATTTAAGAAATAACATTAAAAATAATACATTTTTATTTTCACTTGCAGTATTTTAAAGTGACATTACTTGCCATTTTAATGACTTAAAAATATTTTGATTCTTCCAATATTTTAAAGTGACATTACTTTCCTCCAATTACTTCCAATATTTTAAAGTGACATTACTTCCAATATTTTAAATTATGACATTACTTCCAATATTTTAAAGTGACATTATATTGATTCTTGTGATATTTTAAAGTGGCATTACTTTCTATTTTAGTGACTAGAAAATATTTTGATTCTGAAAAATAAACAAGATTATAAATGCTATAGAAAGCTCAGTCTCCAAAACACTTTCAAAATGCTACTGTAAATTGCTAAAACAAAACAAAAATGCTACCGTAATTATTAAAACTTAATTTCTTTCTTTCTTAATATATATGTTTATACATTTTCATGTTAAAGAGTTTGGCCCCGAATGTAATTGTCTGAGAATATTTAAATGTGTAGCAGTTTTTTCTTGAAAATTCATTCTTCTCTTTTCTGAATTTTTTTTTTTTTTTTCCCAAAAATCTACTGGCCTTTTGCTGTTATAAGGGCTGGTAGGGATATTTTTCTTTTATTTTAGACCTTGCACCATGGAAGGTCTAAAACCAAGATTTATAGACCTACAATTTCCAGAAAAATGTGACGAAATGAAGTGTCTTTATGGTTATTAATAGGAATTTTGTGATGAATTACTTATCTTTTGCAGAATTTTTGGAAGAACAGTGAAAAGAAAATTATTTAAATTTTCTCCTTTTGATCCTGGAAATCTTTTCTCTTAATATGTTTATCTTCCCTTTATTTTCTTAGCTATCCACTACACACGAGCATCAAAGCAATCAAAGAAAGCAAAAAAAATTGAAAACCTACAGTGAATTAAAAGATTCATCATATATGTCTCAGTACGCCATACATACCTGAGTGTCTACCCTAAATTTTGTTGCTTAGTGGCTTAGTGCTTCGCTTAATTCTAAAAATTCTGCCACACTGGCTTCAATGCTGGTCTTGACCTTGTATCATTTCATATTTATTTTCAATACTTATAATATTAAAGAAATGGAATTAGCAGTTTCTTCTATGTATTCTAAGTAAAAGCAGTTCTTTAGAATAACAAAAATCTTTAATTAAATCTGAAAATTCATTGAAAAGGAAATTGGTTGTGTGTATAAAGAGAGAGAAAATTATTCTTCAAAGGTACATTGTTGAAATATTAACAAATTAGGAAATGAAGTGAAGATTAGTGGGAACATTGATTTGTTTATTGAAACTATAATAGTCAAGCTTATTTAAAGTTACTTGAAGCTATAACTTACTAGAATTGTGAAGCAACTATTCACCAAGTTCTGTTGTATCAATAACTATGCGAGAAGCACAGTAATAGACCCGTTTATTCACTTAAGAACAGTTAACAGAAGGCACTTCTCGTGCTTACAAGTGTACTTTATCAACACTTTTTATGGTAACTCAAAAATAGAACATATCATAAAATTAAATCTAAATTGAATAATCAGCTGAAGTTGCACAGAGCTATTTAATGCACCTTGGTTGAGGGTATTAGTCAAGAGCATAATTGACTCTTCGCTAATACCACCAACACAAACTAAATGACAATTAGCATGCACGGCTGTAAAATTACAAGCTTTAACTAGTAGCGAAAACAACGTGGCCGAAAGGCAGAACACACTGTATCTGAAGTAACTCAAGATTTTAGCTTAAATAGTACCTTCTACTTATTTTGCATAAAGCTTGAAACTGAAATTGTATTCTGGTAAGAAAGTGTGGGTTGGAAAAATGAAGGTTTAAAGGAAAGGTTGTATCAGAAATAAAATTAACTGTTAGAAAAATAAAATAGAACCCCACAAAACAAATGAACTTAGAAAAGATGCTCAAGAGAAGGAAAGCTATGTAAATTATCTAAAATATGAAATTAAAATGAAGCATAAACATTGTGTTATTTGTTTGTTCGAAGTTCAGATTTTGAACCATTCGAAGTTCAGATTTTGAGCGTGAAGGTGCAGTTGCCTCTCGCTCCCTATTTTTAACTTGTCCTTTTTTTAACTTTCTTGTCCTTTGTGTTACATGTTTTATCAGATAGCCTGGTTCAGTAAAAGTAGGCAGCCAGTGTAACTCTGATTAAAAATCCGGTTAGAACCACGTGCAGTGCTGATAAGGACCACGTGTTTCCGAGACTCCTTCCCCTTTATTTTTTTTCTTTCTAGGTATTTCTTTCTCCTGATGAGGAGGGACCTTTAGCTGCCCTCGAAATCGATTGAGTATTGAATTCAATATACTTACGCTAAATACAAGGTTGTTTTTACGATTTTGATTGTCACATTAGCGTGTTTCTCTTCTAGTCTAAGGTACTAATAATTTTGAATTGCAGTTTAGGTAACTCAAGCTTGATTTCTGTTTACTTTTTAAAGATGAAGACATATATCCTTACTGATAAATTGACTAAATAACACACATATACAATAAATAATGATATTTCAGAAGAGATTATTGTCTTTAAAAATATAGATATTTTTATGGGAGGGGGAGATGCACTATTGTGATTCAGAAAGCACCAACTCCTATCTATGTCCATATTTTAAAACACATGCTAAAAATATATAATGGTATCATATAAAAATGTAATCATTGATAGATAATCTTTTTAATAGGCATTGGTTCATCTTTGGAATACCAATCCATTTTCATTTATTGGAAGGTTAAAAAATGTTTCTGAAAAATTAAGTGATGAATGCTTTGAGTTCAATCTGGATTTGATTCCAAGTGTATGTGCTAGCTGCATGATTGGCTTTCATGGTTTTTCCCATATTTACTGTGAATTCGAGCCAGTTTCCCTTATAAATTTCACCACAAAGTTGGGTTGTTAAGCAGATAGCCCTTATGCGCTTTGCCATAGTTGAATAACTTAACCTAACATCTGAAAATTAAAATTATAGACAGAAAAATCCTGACTAAATGTTTCCTTGTATTATTTATTATATTAATGCATTTAAATATATCATCTTAATCAAAGCAAAAAATCAAAACTAAAGTATAAATTATCAATTTTCAAGGGCAGCTATTTATAATTGAAAATTAACTTCTGATCTTAAAATAAGAAAATTGACTCTGAAGAAAAAAAATTCATGTGGTAATATTAAGCTTTAACATTAAACACTTAATAGTATTTTAAAGAAATGTTACAACTATGCATGGGAAAGGCATCAGGTATTTTTACAATGTTGAAAACACATTTTGTATTTTGTTAATCACACATTTTTTTTTTTAATCCGTATGAGGTACAAATATTTTCCTTTTAGGAGAGCTATTACTTTTAATTTCAGAGCCCACCAGCGGCCGAGCAGTAAAGTCACTGAACACTGGTAGTTCGGTCCGAGGATCGAATCCCACGAACAAGCGGGCTGGCTGCATGGGCATTTTCATGGTTTTCCCTGTGTGTAACGTGTATACGAGCCAGTTTCCCTTAGAAAAAAAAGGCATCCCTTACCTTAGGGAGATAGCCTTCGAGGCTTTGACGTAATCAAACACACACACATTCAACAATATTTGTTACATTTCTCAACAGATATGCATGCATCAAGGTAATAATTTTGTTTATCCTTTTTTGATCTATTATGAAACTTTTTCAAAACTTTTTGCTTTATTGTTTCATTCTTGTTTTCTCTGAAAGTTATTTACTATTTAATTCCTGCAGCGTTGAGCATCAGAAATAAGATAATCAGTAGCTACCTTCTTTGTTGCACTTTCAATATTATGATTCTCTCAGAATTCATCAAAGATATCCTGTAGTTTTATTATACCATCTTATTATCTCTGGTTTTCATTTCAAGTTAAGTGGGAAATGGGAGTCTCTGCCCTTGAATTTTGGTCTCCGTAGCTTTCTTGGCTTCTCTGAGGATATTTCGATTGTGAAGATGGAATTTAAGAATTGACTCGAGAATTTCATGCAAACGTGCCAGTCAGGATATTTTGTCTATTCAGTAAAAAATTTACTTCAAAAATTTTGAAATGAGTATGAATTATACAGTCAAAAGTCGTTAATCCGGACTCGTCAGGACTTCGGTGATTCCGGATTATCGATTTTTTCGGATTATAGATCATCAGTTTAAATCTTGTAAGATGGCATGCAGAAATTATAAAATTAAAAATATGAAACCGTAATTTATGAAATAAAGAACAATTATGATCTAAAGAGTATCAAAATTTACAAAAAAAAAAAAAAAAAAAA